GGAGATCAGGCAGAAATATGGTGAGCTTTTCTCTCCTATTCACAACTGAATTATCAGCAGACTCTGCTTTCTGCAACCCCTTTTGTCAAAAGGATGGTTCTTGGTGTTTTAAAAAATGTTTTTTGTACATTTGACAAGATTCTGACTATTCTAGCTAGAACAATGTGTCTAGATCATGCAGAGTCTTTGAATCTCTGTTGCACTTTTCTCTCTTCTGCTTTTGATCAGATTTAGACCATGGAATTGATCTTTGTATAGAATCTCCTGCTCATGTTGCCAAAGAGTATAAATGTTCATCAGACATTTAAATTAGAAGCCTGCCCATAGCATCACAGGTCCTCTACCAAAGTGATCCCCGGCTGTGTATCATTTGGAACTGGGCCGCACAGAAAGAAAAAATAACTTCCATTATGATTCTATAGGATGTTTTTATAAAAAAAAAAAATGACTGGATACTCACTGTAAGTAGTTAATAGGCTGTTTTCATGCGCTTTGTTTTAGCGGTAACTTATTTTTAAAGGCATGTTTAATGTTACCATAGCGACCAGAGAGCACTATAATGACAGACTGATAGATAAATATTGTCTGACATACCAGACCATGGTCCAGAAAAGGTCTTGGGCCACTGCACTGCCATGTCTTAACTAACAAACACATCGAGCTCCACATATAAAATCCTAGAGGAGTTTGACAAACTCAACTTTTTACATTTGAGATGATAAAATCACTCTGTGAAAACACTAAGAATTCTCTCAGAATTCCTCCTAAAAATGAGCTTGATACGAAAATGGGATGTTTGTTATTTTGAAGATTTAGTTACTTTTTTTTTTTTTTTTAAACCTTAGTCTTGAAGATGGAGTTCCTGATCCAGTGTCTTGACCCAGATTGAATTTACTCTCCATTTCTAATAATTAATTAAACTTTATTGATCTCACATTGGAGAAGTTTATCCCTGCATTTTGACCCATCCCCTCAGGGAGCAGTGGGCTGCCATTGTGCAGCAGTGTGGGGTTAAGGGCCTTTCTCAGGAACCCAGAGTGGATGCTGTGGTGATTGAACCGGGTACTTGCAACCTTCTCAGAGCACAAGCGCACTGCTCTAACCACTAAGCCAAGCACTCCCCTTCAACTATATTTAGTTGACAGGAAAAATAAAAATTGATTGAACGCCAAATAGTAGTTCACTCTAATTTACTCAAAGTCTATAAGTAATTAAAAGTTAATCATGAATGAAATGCTGATTAAACCCATTAAAACTATATGGGTGCAATAGAATAGAAAACCCCTTTATTGTCCCACAATGGGGAAATTGTGGAGTTACAGCAGCAGCAAAAGGTTATAGTAGAAGTGGACTGAATGTGGACCTTAGAAAAATGTATAAAAATAACAGTGAGACAGTTAAGAAAATGGAAAAATATTATACTGTACAATGTTTTTTTACAATCTTAATACGTTGTATCTGTAGTATAAATAATCAATAAACAGCTGTGGACATTTTTTTAATAATGGGTATGTGAAAAATGGCAACACCAGAGATGTGCAAAAAAATGAGAGCAGCATGTTATCTAATCAACAGAAACTGTGCAAAAATCAGCATGGATGCAACAACTTATTAAGGTTGTTGGTAACAGTGATGGTTATGGAGGAAGGATCTGTGATTATGCCCCCTGGTGCATTTAGGGTGCATTAAAATTAAAAGTAAAAGATTAAGAAATAATCAGCCTGATTCATTTAAAATTTCTTAACTCAGCAAATGCTCACAAAATGCTTAGAAATGTTAAGATGAGATCTCCTTTTTATTCTATTAAATGAATTTAAGCAAATGTCTTATTTTTTATTTAAAAAAAACACTGAACTCAATATTTTTTTTTTTTTTTGTAGGACTGAATGGGCCAAACCCATATGCAAGATTTTCCTGAGATCCACATGCGGAAGTTTTTAAGCAAAAAGCACAGCTCCTGATTTGTAGCTTTGTCTATCTGCAGTGAATCCAATATCTGATGGAAACTTAAACGATGAAATTTTAAAGAAGTTTTCCGTAGGCAGCCTGCCTTTTGATGATCAAATCTGTTCACTGAAATTGGATACATGGCTGCAACGGGAAGCCAGGAAAGGTTTTTTTTTTTTGTTTTTTTTTTTTTTCTCTGGTTCCTAATACTATTATTATTGTTATTTATTAGTACATAGTGAAATTGTTTAAAATCAAAGTTATTTTAGATTTTAAAGGTAAATTTCTTCTGCCTAAGAAAACCTGTAGGTTCACAGTTTCAGTTGCTGCTGATTTTGAAATTATAATTAAAGTTTCTTTTTAATGACTTTTCTGGTTATCTCTGTTATATCTAACAGCCATAATGATTGTAATATTGCTTGTTCCTGTGGGAATTTTTACAACAATTCATAACTAAAGTGGTGTGAAACTGATTCGTTTTAGTTCATAATCATAACTATTTCTGCATAGTATTTTACTGAGGTTTATGTATCATTAAGTTACAATTCTATTAAATAAAATATTTTAGACTGCTTTTTGTCTCCTTTCTCACTGAATGTGCTTCTTAAACCTAGTAGTTTGTTAAAGAAAGGCGTTTTTTTTTTTAACGAAAGTTGCAGATCCACTAACTTTGATGTTTATTTTTTTAACTCTGGGAAAACCATCTGGGTTCTTTTCTATTTCATTATTCTTGAAAACCTTGACTTACACAGAGTTACACAAATGTAGCGAACAGAAAAAATATAAATGATTATGCAGAAATCCCTAATGTATTAAAACTGATGCAAATAAATTATTTAATTTAACTTATACAAACTGTATTTTTTTATATAATTTCTCAGAAATTTCATTTAAACTATTATAATAAAAAAAAGTCAATTTCTGTCAGTAATTTAAGGGTCCAGGCTTTAAAGGGTTAAATATTCATCTTTATGTTCACAAATATGTGCCACTGTTACTTTTCTTGCACCTTCAAATACAAAGTGCTTTAAATATGAAATTATTACATACTGTTCAATAAATAAGTGTTTTTAATTAAGAGTCATTTTCATTTGACTGTGCTTTACTGGATACATCCATGTTTGTCAAAGTACACTACTGCCACCTACTGGTTTGTGACGTCACAGTGCGGTATCGGCTGTTGAGCAAGTCCTAATGTATATCTGGTGTTTGAGAAAACCCATTGATTAGTCCTTGCTGACTGGACTTTTAAGGAAGACGAATGTAACATTGCAATTTTTTTTATGAATTTTTAAATTCAAGATTGACCAATAAATTTATATTTGTACAGCTGTTAAACAAATTAGGACACCTTACTAGCTTTGCCGTTATATTCAAATTCAGGGGCCTTCAATGTTTTCCAGGCCAAGGACCCCCAAACTGATGGCGAGATGGAGCGGGGACCCCCTAAATATATATATATTGTATGAAATTGTGTTAGCAGAAAGAGCTACTGTGTGTCACTGAATGTGTGCATTGATGACTGAAAGACTTCTTCTGCCCCCATTTATCCGTTTACTACTGTGTGTTGAATTCATGTTAATGTGTATTTAAAGACATTTCGATTGGTGGAAAAAATTGCTGGGGGGAATTTAAAAAAAGTCTAATGAAATAAAACGTTCGCGACCCCCATGCAGTACCTCTGTGGACCCCCTAGGGGACATGGACCCCCTGTTGAAGACCCCGTTCTGATTGATCTCAATAAATTGTACTTAACTTACAATTAAATAAAAAAGTAAGATGCTTTTTGATGAGTAAGATGCTTTTTGTTACCTTTTTTTTGTTGCCTTTTCTCAGTTTCTTACATCTGCCACGAGGCTCAAAGCCCATTTCCTGTCCCTATGCAGTATTTTAATGAGATTTGATCTGCCCAGGACTTACCACTTCTTAATAAAAAAGGTATTACATTCCTAAAGAAGCTTATCAGTTATGTAAATCTTTGAGTGTTGCATGACATGCATTGCCTGCAACAAGGAAATGAGTAGCATCATTTACTTAGCCTTGAACAACTAAATTTTGTTTTTTACAGCTTTCAGACAGCAACTGAAGCGTAGCAATGAAGTGAACATTTATATTTCATAAAGTGCGGCAGTGATCAAATGTAAACAGTGTGGGAGAAAAAAACATGGTGCAAAAATGCATTGATACGGAACTTCAGAGCATTTCAAGACGAATATGTATGGTGCAAATATGCAGTATTTTTAGGTTGGTGTTAGTGTAATGCAGAGTCTGACTTGACCAAGTTTTTTCAACAGTTCAGCTATCTGTCAGCGAGCAAAAAGCTGTTGCAGAATCCGCTGGACCTGGATCAAATGCTTCGAAGCCTCTTCCCAGAGGGCAGTAGGGAGAATGGTGAGCTTGGTGGTGTGAGGAGTCCTTTATGATGTTATGGGCTCTTGACATGCAGCGCTGGGATGAAATGGTTTTTATGGAGGGAAGAGGAGCCCAGATGATCTTCTCCACTGTTCTTAATATCTTCTCACCTTCTTCCAGTCTTGTGTCTGTGTGGAGGCGCTGCAGCCTCCACACAGTACAGTGAGACAGCTGGTCAGAATGGGCATCCTCATCCTCCTAAGGAGGTACAAGCGCTTCTGTGCCCTTTTGACCAGCGAGGTGGTGTTTACCTACATTTTTTCTGTGAAGGCAGTCCTTTCTGTGGGATTGAGGTGTGGAATATTAATAATAATTGGAATTTATTGATCTCACATTGGAGAAATGAACCTCTGCATTTAACCCATCCCCTTGGAGAGCAGTCAACTCAATGGGGCATCGCTTAAGAAAAAATGTATTACACTATACACTAATATTTAATTTAAAAGAAACTAGAGATACATCAGGAGTGACGTTTCAATTGTATTAACAGTAAAAGATGCACTTTGCGGGTCTCAAAAAGCTCAGTTTTTTTGGGGGGCGCGTGATCGAACTTTCTGTATGTGTGCGCGCCCCGAATCCGCGCTCCCGAGATGAAATGACCACGTGACTTCCCCGGCCAATGGTTTACTCCTAACATCGGTCTAAAGAGCGCGTACCCGCAATCGACGAGAACAGTGAGCAGAAGGCGGCAGGAAGACGACAAAAGCCCGGCGTCGGTCTGTTCTGTAAACCCTAACACAAAAAAACAACCGAGATGTCAGAGGAAAAGCCAAAGGTAAGAGGCGGAGGCTTACAGCAGTTTACCGGCACTGGATGCTGAGTCGGGGCTGCTGCAGCAAAGAAAAATTCCTGTAAATGTGCAATCTAGAGGCCTTGGTTTGCACGTTTCTCCAAATTGGCGCAGTGTTAGTTTCGCAAAATGAATGGGAACCCGCACATCTAAACATAGACTCAGTAAGCACCTAAGCCGCTGTATCGTGGTGGAAAATTAATAAACATCCCGTTAACTTTCATATTTTATTTCAGAAGAAAATTGACTGCAGTAAATGTTTATATCTTTCCCTCCGAATCTCTTTTGTCGAAAGGGTCAGACGTTAACTCCGCAACGCCGCATAATGCCGCAGCTGCAGTTAGCGGCAAAATATCGCAACGGCTAATGACGCACCCGTTTAAATGCTAACGTTGGGCTGTTGTGTTTGGTTTGGCTTACATTTAGAAAGGTTTTGGTTGGATCAAACGCGCAACAAAACAAAGCAGTTAGCAACGTTAGCTTGAAGCTAAACTTCCAGTTGATCCCAAAGGACCGCCGGTGTGCTAACCTAGCCTCGAGCTAATTATGCTAACGTTAGCATCGAAAAACACACTCTGAGGCCTAATGTTTTTTCCCAGATACGGCGATGTTGACGGCGATTTTCTTTAATACAGACCCCTATTCATTTGTTTTTGTTTTTTTTATTTTATTGCTCGTAAATTCAACTAAATATTCTGTGGTAGAAGTGGTGATTAGGAAAATATATCGCTCAATAATTTATTTGGTGTCTTCCTTTATGCCACATAATTTACCCCACTTCTGTTTCAGCAGCCTTTCAATTCTGATGGTTTAAAAATACACCTGCTTTATTTTTATTACCAGAGCTGGTTCTGATGTTATGTTTTGTCTGCAGGAAGGAGTAAAGACTGAGAACGACCACATCAACCTCAAAGTTGCAGGACAGGATGGGTCAGTCGTCCAGTTCAAAATCAAACGACACACACCGCTCAGCAAACTAATGAAGGCATACTGCGAACGACAGGTAACCTGCAAGCCACGTTCGCTCTTATAATGCACATTTGATACATCCTCGCAGTCAAACACGGTGGTGGTGGCAGCATCATCTTGTGCAAAGGCCTTTTTTAGTGAGGGACTGGGGAGCTGGTTAGAGTTGATGGTGTAGCTAAATATTGGGGGGACTGGAAAAGACTTTGGACCAGGACAGACGGTCAGCATTGCAAAGATGTTTGCAGACAAACTCAAAGACTTGATAAAGTACTGATTTTTGGCTGATGCATACAAATTACCTACCCTTACACTACCCTGAAGTTGAGTAGTTTTACAAGGTTCTGTTTTTGGAAAAAGACATTTAAATACCTTTGTTGGCATGTATGTGTTTTTCACTTGTTCATTCACTTATTGCTTTGTTCATCTACAGGGTCTTTCAATAAGGCAGATCAGGTTCAGGTTTGATGGCCAGCCAATCAATGAGACGGATACACCTGCACAGGTAAAACTGTCCAAGAACAGCACTTTATTGGCTTTTTTTTGGTAAGGTTTACAGGTTACAGCACATTTAAAACATGATTGTACTTGTTTCTTTTTATTGTTTTGGTTTTTTACTGTTTGATTAAATATGAGGTTTATCTTTGTACTTTTTTACAGCTGGAGATGGAGGATGAAGACACCATAGATGTTTTCCAGCAGCAGACTGGAGGATGCTGCTAAACCCTGGCATCCCCACCTACCCCACAGAAGGCCATGTTCAGACCATGCCCTCAACCACCTTCACCCTCTCTCCCTCCCCATTTGCTCCTGCCAGCTTATTGTTATGACTATTATTAATATTATTTTTCTCTTTTTAAAGACATTCTTTGCCTGACGTGTCAGTGCTCTTCAGCTGTTTCTGTACTCTCTTAGTCAGGACTGAGCTTCAGTGTTCTCGGTCTTTGTGGATGACCAGTCAGGACCTTCTCTTCCTTTCTGGTGCTGCAGATTCTAATTGGACCAACGGCTCACCACAGAAACCGTAAAAGGCTCTGCTGGTTTTTTGTTCAGGGGTCACTGTCGGTGGGGCGCGAGAATATTTTGAAGTGGAAGCACCATCTGAACTCGACCTCCTCCTTTGCTTTTTTCTCTTTTTTTTTTGAACATATGTATTTTAGGTGCTTCATTGTTTTGTACTTTTGCCTCCGGTTTTAAGATATTTTTTTTCTTTCTGTATCGAAATATCCAAATGGTTGTTAAATTAGTCGTGAGGTTAAGAACAGTACTCCAAAGATCATCTGCTTCTCTTTCAATGTATGTTTAATTTCAAGGTTTAAACATTTTGAGGTGTTGGGTTAGATCATTAGCATTCTGCTCCCCAGCTTCTAATGGAGAACTGTCTGTTGTACAGATTGCCATTTGCTCAGGGGGTAAAATAATTCTGTGCCGCTGAAATAGGTTTGGGTTTCGCCTTTTCTCAGTAATATATGCGTCTTTATTTTTGCCTATAAAGCCGGTCATGATCAGTCCCTGTGATACAAGCAGCTCTTCTTGCAGCAGGAGTTGGGATTTCCTGAGTACTGTTCTCTTAAGTTCAGCAGCTTCCTATTTGAGAGCATGGACACTCAGCTAAAGCAGAAAATTGTAAGCACATGTCATTTTCTCTGACGTGTTTCCTGCTGAGCTGCTGTACTAAAGACAAAATATGCTCTGCAACGTAACAGAGAAGGTATCTCAGACGACCTCTTTGTTGTTCGAAGTGCAACATGCAACATACAGTCATCGCTCTGTATCTGGAGAACAGGAAAGTCAGCCAGTGGTTTTTTTTGTTCGGGGATGAGCTCGGTTTAAAGAGTTGCTTATTTTTGATCCTTTTCTGGTCTGAAGCAAAATCTTTCATCCTAGAGCCAAATGAGTTGGAGCTTAAAAAAAAAAAATCTACAGTTGGAGCTTAAAAAAAAAATCTACAGAAAATCATGCTGGTTTGGGGGTCCTGTGGAACATTACGGTTGCTTTTGAGGTTTAAAGTTATCAGAAAAGGCAATAGTTTTAGTTTTGCTATAAATAAGCAGGTTTAGTCTCACTTTGAATAAGATAACTAAACAGCAAACCCCCTTTGTGTCCCTCAGCCTGTTAAAAAGCCATTTCCCTTTTATATTAAACTGTTCCCATCTTATTCAGCTGTATTTTTGTATGCGTCCTTTTTATCGGTGGACTAAATGGCACTATCCATTTATTTTAAAATACATATTGGCAATCTGTTATTTAAACTCGTAATTTCCATGTTTAAGTTCACAAATAACTCCTGAACATCCATCTCTCCTCATTGAATGGTGCGTTAGAGAAGGGGTAAGTAATTCATTGTGCACAGATTATTTACTGGCAATGATTGTGAATTTAGCTTCCATCACAGATATAAGAGCACATTTTATCTGTACCTACAAATCGGCTTTCCAATTTTCTTTGCATTTTACCAACTGGGTTTATCTGGACAGAAATCTTTTTGGCAACTGGCTGAACTACACTGTTATGGATGAAGAATGGGGTCCAGGTCTCGTCTTGTTTGTTTCTCTACTGATTTGTACATTATTTGTGGTCTTTTACTACTGTATACAATAAATATAGTTTGGTACTCAGAAATGTTGTTAGTTTCATGTTTATTTAACCCAAAAACAATTTTTTTCTTAGGTAAAAACACTCTCCTACCGAATCTTTTCTTTGATGATTAAAGTCTTTAAAAAATGGCAGCAAATCTATTTTTCAATAATACTCTTAACTGCTTATGTTACCCACTGATGTACAAATGTGAAATGACCACCAGATGGCAGCACTGAATTACTACAAAACTCATTGGGTAAACTACTCTTAAGGAACTTCCCAAAATGAATTAGTAACTTCATGCTTTGACCAATTTTATTGCATGTAAATACAAAAAAAATATGACTATATAAAATGCACAATAGCCATAACAGTTATGCACATTTTATGATTATTGTTAAAGTTAAATGTTTTTTTTTTTTTTTTTTTCTGGTAATTTTTTAACTTCCACAATATGAGCCCACATTTCTAAAGTCTCAACACAATCTTACAGTTTCATGATTATATTAAATGATTTGATTCTTGAATAATCTAAGACTTTATAGCACTCATTCATGCACCTATAATATACTAATTAAATACAATTGTACACAATGGAACAGAGGGGTGCTGTAGTTCACAAAGCCTGGGATGATTTAAGGAAAAGATAAAAACGTGATTAACGTTACATTGTTTTAACAAAGTCAAATTGGGTTCTTTGTTTCCAGAGTCTATATATAGAATCCCAGATCTCTGATAAAGGGACTGGTCTAATTAATCTGAACTGGAACAGTGATAAGATCATAGCGCCGTTGGATGAGTCAAACCAGGAATAAGGAAACTCATAAGATATTGGCAGCGCGCATCGACTTTTCTCTACCTTAACAGGATTTTACCACCCACCCGTGTCTCCCAGGAAGAAAGATTGTTCAATGGATACAGATCATACAGTTGGCTGTTATTTTAATGTAAATGAAGATGAGAGGCAGAATGCATTTGCCTTGTTAATATGCTGGTTGAAGGCTAAGAGAATGGGGTTTCAAAGGTTTAATATAACCTCTAATATAGTTAGAGATAAATAATCTTTCATCAAGTTTCCATGACTGTTATTTTATCAAACCTCTAAGATCTCCATAGAGCAGCTATAGTTGTCATTTACTACATATAGGATCTCTGAAGGGCTTTGTTTGCACCAGCTTTTATCTAGGGGACCTGGAGTAAATGGGGATGGAATATGAACAAATACTTTTCTCACTCTTATCATTAAAACAACCCAAAAAAGATATTCTGATATTTACATTTGTGCACTTTTTTGTTCATTTATCACAAAAATACACATTCATCAAAGCTTCCAGCTGTAAGGAAATTTGAAAAAGATCAAGGGGTGTGAATATTTTTTTTTTTACAAGGCACTGTATCTTTCTCTCATAGGTTATGACCTAAAACACACAGCTCATATGCATTCATACATCAGTTCAAAGATGGCACTCTGGTGTTCATGTTCTTTTGCTTTACTTTAAGACTGAATCTATTGACTTTTGACTGACATTTTGCATCTGTTTGCACACAGAAGTTTTGTGTGCCTCCCCTCCTGATCTGTCTGTCAGCGTCCTGTAAGCATAAACATATAAATACAGCCAGGCAGCACACCCCTCTGGCGGTCTATGTTTCCAAATTTGTGGTCGAGGGAGGATGAGTGACATGCCGGTTAGTGATTTGCATGGCTCCGGTGTTTAAAAGGAGCTGCAGGTGCAGGATTCCCTTCACAGAGGAGTGGATTTGGTTCAGCACACACAGGGACCTTTCATGCTGCATCAGTACATCTGATCAAGTTGATATAAGACTCCAAGTTTGAACATATTCTTTCTTACTGGGATCAAGATGAAGGAGGCATGGTTTTCTTTCATGAATCATTGAAGGTAAAGACCAAGGGAGAAAGAACAGACTGGAAATTACCTCGAACATGGAGACATTCCTGTTAGCAGGCAACTGAGGCAGACCGCGTTCATAATGTCGATGAACATATTCCTGCTGCTCCTTATCTGGGCTTTCAGGGTCACAGAGACAACGACAGACGTCTGGAGACAGTGCACAGGTGAGAAGCTATTTAATTTAATGTATTCTGTTTCATTCTACAATTTAGAGGTGTCACTTCATCTCAGGTCAACACAAGTGATCCAGTTAATGATTACCCAGTGGATTGTTTATGGCTCCATCTAAAAGCTGGGAAGGCCCTGCAGCTAAAATTCTTTTGGATAATTCCAACTGTCTGCGTCTGCTCATGGGGAGTGCTTGTGTGCATATGTGTAGGGGTGGGAGAGTGTTTTTAACATTCACAAACAAGTAAGGACTTTTACATTTCTATAAACATTAGGATATTATGGTTTACAGCTGAATATTCCAGTGACACCTCACCAACCTCTCATGATTTTTCTTCTCTAAATCTGCCTTTTAGATCTAGTTGTTTATAAGTAACAACTCATAGAAATCACTGCATAGAAATGTACAGTTTCTAGACCTTAATTCAATTTTAAACCTAACTTTAAAATTTCTTGGTAAATCACACCCCCAAACCACTAAGTCTTTAATTGGGTTATGTGATAGATCAACAAAGTTGTACATAACTGTTGCACTAATAACAATAAGAAGAAAAATAAAAGTGACCCAAAACTTGTCCATATTTTACAAGTCTCAGTATTTTATTTATTTATTATATTTATTTTAAGTGGAGTGGATTAACACTGATTGAGGTTCCAAGAAACAAATAAACAAGCAACAACAAATATATAAAAATAGAATAAAAACAGTTATCTTAAAGCTAATATAAAAATAGTTTGATCCTGGAAAAGGTTTAATTTTAAAATACACAAATTGTAGGAACCATGTGAATGTAATTAAAGGGTAGATGAATGCAGTTCAATACATACAGCCCAGGAGAAAAGAAATATATAATAGAGAAACATTTGGTTCAACTTTAATCATAAATATATAAATCAGAGGATTACAAACAATTTCTGAGCTCTTTTTTGTTTGAATCTCTTCAGATTATTAAAACAACAATAACAAAAAAAAAAACTTCTATTTTTTTTTATGTTTGTTGTTTTCCAGCTATTTATTGCATACCGTTAACAGCCATTGTGGCCTATTGTCTGTTTCCCTCAGAATTAGTTCCCTTGGATCTTCTGTCTTTTGTCCTTGAGAGGGACACATCCAGAGTTGTCCCTGGGGTGCGTTTGAAGCAGTCAGCTGGACTGAGGGGGGTCCAGTTTCTCAGCCCGGATACATCTATGAGCTTCCTTGCCTCCCAGCTCCTGGTGAACTGTGACCTTTTCCCCAAAGAGTTCTCCATTGTTGTTACAGTAAAAGTACACCGCATTGCACCCAAGGTAAGCATCTGTCACACTGGCTAAGGTACTCTCGTAAGGTTTTCATAGATACCATGGCGATGCAGCAGAATCTTTTTTTATTCAGGTAATAAAAAAGTCAAAATGTCAGTTTTGGTCAAAAATGTTCTGAAGTAGAAATATCTTCAAAGAGTTAAATGTTAATTTTGATCAAAACCAAAATTCTTATTATAGTGTATTTATTTTCTTTGTTGTAGAGAGATGAGTACATATTTTCTCTGATGGGACCAAAACATGTGGAGAGCCCTGCACAGGAGAAGGATGATGTATTGGAAAATAAAAATGAGAAATTTATTTCGGAAGATGAGCGGCAGCCCAATAGGAAGAAGAAAAAGGAAAATGATGGGAAACCAGGAGAGATCCTTCTTGGCCTGAAATTATCCCAGAATGGCCTGACCTTTATTTTTAAAAGTCACGGGAAAACAGCAGAGCACTGGAGCTTACAAGGTCTGCATCTATCTCCAAACCAGTGGCACACACTGGTTGTAGTTATTGGCCCTCAACACATGAAGCTGACAGTGGACTGCAGTTCACCATTGGAAATGTAAGCACAGCTTTCTTTGTTCTTGCTTTTTTCCTCACCCTGTTTACCCATAGGACACTGATATCTGACCACAACAAAATGGTCTTACTTCTTCAAATGTATATGCACCTTAAAGTCACACCTTTGCACCCTGACAGTGAATGATGGATGCTGAAATACAGTGGAGTACAATCTCTGAAGCTCTAAGAACACAGTTCATGTCTCATGTTCTTGTTTCTTTACTCCAAAATGCAAGTATTACTTTAGCCGGAAGCAATAAAGTTAATTTATACACCAAAAATAACTAACGGTGCCCTTCAAAGGTTTTAACCTTTTTTTTTTCCATTACATGGAAAGAAATTATGTAAAAAAAACTTTTTTTTTTGATTGATTGATTGATTGACTTTATTGATCTCACAGTGGATAAATTTATTCGTTACATTAGTTCAAATAGTCAAAGAAAAAAAAAGAAGGTGCCAAAGGAAGAAAAAATAAAGATTAAAGAAAAACTTCAGTTTATTTGTTAGGATTCGTGGTGATTAACTGTCACAGAGCAGCAAATATTTCTGAAGTGTATAAAAAAAGAGGAAACACAGTTTTCTGTTTTTGACAAATAAAAATGTGCATTCAGCTCCCCTTCATCACAATAACATAAACAAAATCCGGTCCAACATTTTTCTAAATTCTAAATCAATATTTTATTTCACTTAAGTACTATTTAGTAGCTTTTTTTTATTAATTATTACTGTTTTCCATTTTGTATTATTTGAATTATTAGTGTGAATATATCATTTTCTTTACTGGGAGGGTATGTTAACCTTCAAGCAAAACAGTATGCATGTGTATGCATAATGCATTTACAAGGTTTCTTCAGAAAGAGAATAGCTCAATAGCAGGAATGAGTGGCCCAAGACTCGCCCTGCAGACTCCAGGGCCTATAGATTCGACCAGAGTTCCATAAAAGACCAAGATGGTGGAATCTAAACAAAATCTCGAGCATTGAGTTTTTCATGGAGCACAGTTCATTCTGTCACCCGAAAATTATTATCAAAGGAGTGTGACAAAGCTGTGAAAATTTGTAATAAGGCATTCCAATCAATTGACACCACAATTTAACTTTTTGGTCTAAATATAGGGACACATAAAGGAGGGAGCATAATACTTTGGGAATCCTTTTTTTCAGTGGGGACAGGAAATCGGGTTAAGCAAATAAAAAGGTAGCTAAATGTTTGACAATCCTAACAGAATTTCTGCTGTAGGCTGCAACAGACCTGCTACGAGGAAGGAGAACAACCTCCTACGTAACAGCCAACAAAAAGATTGAGCTGCGCAGGTATTATAATGAGCCAAGGAAAACCCAGACCTTATCAGAAAAAATAACCTTTTGATAGACAACAACCTTTATATTTAACCAGTCATCCAACCAGTCAGAGCTTTAGCCATTTTGAATAGAAGAATTTTATTTAACAGTCTCTCAGTGGAAAAGTGTTAAACATTGCTGTAAAAGGCTTGAAACACTTCAAGATGGAATTAAGATGCTTTTCGCAGTCTCTATGTGTTTTGTATCGCCAGTTTAAATCTTGAAAGATCACAGCTGTGAGGTATATCTGTATCAGCTTACTAAATAAATATTCTGTGTCTGCGTTCCACAGTTTTCAGATTTTAACATGTTGTAATATTTTGAAAACTTTGCTTTGCACTTTCCACAGATGCTCTATATGTGAAGTTAATCACACAAAATCCTAGTAAAATCCATTAAAATGTGTAAAATATGACAATATGTAAAAAAACAAAAAACAGCAAAAACCCAAGGGTTATGAATACCAGGATAAAGCGGTATTGGCCCTTTAGGATAAGATTGTCTTTTATTACAGTGTTCCCTCGAGGCCTTTCCTCTCAGATCTCAGCATTCAGGGATCCAGATTCCACATTGGCAGTCGGGGGAGATGGAAAGGCTTGTTTTCAGTAAGTTGACTTTAAAACTATGATGCATTTTTAAGGAAATTTGATACCATCCCAAACGCTTGTAGATGAATATCTCATCTGTTGCCACATGTTCAGGGCCTGATGCGACAACTGGTTCTCGTGCCAAACACGGATGCCTCCCGTCAGATCTGCCCGTCTTCTGACCCCCAGCTTACAGCTCTGTCAGTTCCCCCTCTGCTCTTAGACCTGCCTGTCAGAAAGAGGCAGAATGACAGACATGCAACTTCCTCTGGTAATTTGTACATTGACTTCACAAGGAATGCATCTTGGGGAGTTCGCTCTGATTGCTCTGCCCTAAATCCGATCCTTCAGGAACTGCAGGACGACTGTTGGTGGGTTTGGAGAAGCCATGCTCTGCATTGCTGCAAGGCCAGCTGTGGTTTAATCCTCTCAAAAAAGGACTTTATGTCTGTGATGGATCAGTGTGGATCACTGTGTTGGAGGGTATGCATCCAAATTCTAAAAACAAGCAAGTTTCTCTTCTTATGATATATAGCAAAATCACTTTTCTTTAAACACCAACAGACCATAAAAGACTGGACTATGTTTTGGAGCATCAGGACCTTATAACCAGCTCTGAGACTCATGATGTGGAGGTACTTCTCCAACTTTACTTTTTTAATGCTGCGTTGTTGCCTGGTTTAAAACTAATTTTCTTGTTTTTTCTCATTTTCAGGTGTTTCAGATCCAGGGCGTGGGTCTTATGGCTGCTATGGCTCACAGATCCTCAGCCTCTGGTTCAGCTGTGTATCTCTGGACCCAATTGGGTTTCAAGCTCTACCAGAACATCAGCACTTATGGAGCTCTGGCTTGGAAACATTTCCAAATAGGAAAGAAGGTATAAACCGATGGAAAAATCACATCTATTTATTTCTCACTAAATTTTTGAAATCGCACCCTGAACTGGAGCTTTGATGACCTCTAATTTGTTGTTTATTCCTAGGCTTATCTTGTGGTGTCAAACTCTGGGACTGAAAAAAACAAATCTTTAGAGAAAGAGTCTGAATCGGACTCTTCTGTGATTTATAAATGGAGCAGAAGAAGAAAACAGTTTGTGAAGTTCCAGACCCTGCAGACCTACTGCGCTCGAGACTGGGAGGCTTTTAACATTAATGACCAGACATATCTTGCTGTGGCCAATCACAGAAAGGGTAATATATTACAGTCCTACTCATGTTTTTGCTCTTCTATATTCAATTTGTTTAATAATGATGATTTGTGCAAATACAAAAAAAAGTTTTTAAAATATTTATCCCCATGTTGAATTGTGGTTAAACTATGATTAACCATATTTCTATTTACTATCTTGGAGAATCAGTTAAATATTAAAACCAAACCTATGTGTAAATATTAAGCAGCTGAAAAGATCGAAAAAAGAAACAGATGCTTAATTTAAAGGAATTAAGATAAGAGACACAACCTTGACATCTATCATCTATCATGTGGTCAAAAAATGACCCATATATATACCTAAGAGCTTGACGTGTCTCAGTTAAGGTTCTGAATCCACTGTAGGAAAAGGCAGAAACTGGATAATAACATATTTTCAGATAAAAACCACAACTGTTTAAGAACTCAAAGGCCTTTCTTACATTTGTGAAAACACATCTTGAGGATCTCCAAGACTTTATGATCTGTCAGTGGAATATTTAGACAAGGTTATGTGTGGCATAAAACTCAGAAATACTTTCAGTCCAAAAGCAACCTGCTGACAGTCGAGCATGGTAGTGGTAGTGGGGTGGTCTGGGATTGATTTGCTACATTATGGCTGTGTCTGAAGTAACGTCTGCTAGAAGCCCTAAATCCCTCAATCACTATATAGAACGGGGATTATATAGTGGACCATATAGTTAACTTACTGTTTGGACATATGATCACTACTTTCTGCTCCACGTTGGTCACGTGATTCTGCCTCCCTGCATCGTGCCTGCACCATCTTTATTTGTCACCTCTGTCGCTAACCAACAGCGGGTCGCTGTGACAACAAATCCACTAACACTTTGCAAGGAGAGCTCTCGGAAAGCATTCTGAGATACATCTGCTTGTGACCGTGGATGAGCACTACTTTTTGAGATGCATTGTGGGAAATTTTGAGTCTTTTCATCCACTAGGCGTTCGGACACAGCCTATATCTCTCTTGGAGCACAGATTAAATAGAATGTCCGGCTAACATGCCCTAATATTCAACAAACTGTTTATAATAAAAAAAACTCTGTAATGTGGCTTAATTAAAAGAATCTTGCAAAGCAATGGGGAACAATTCCTCCATAAAAAGACACATTGCCAGTTGTGACAAAATCTTGAAGGGACTTGGAACAACACGTTGTTTGAGAAAGATTTCTTCCATTTAAAGAATTCACTTAGGCAATATTTATCCATCCATCCATTATCTGACATGCTTGTCCCGAGTGGGGTCGCAAGGGGTGCTGGTGCCTATCTCCAGCAGTCAATGGGCGAGAGGCGGGGTACACCCTGGACAGGTCGCCAGTCCATTGCAGGGCAACACAGAGACACACAGAACAAACAACCATTCACACACACACTCACACCTAAGGAGAATTCAGACAAGTCAATTAACCTAACAGTCATGTTTTTAGACTGTGGGAGGAAGCCGGAGTACTCGGAGAGAACCCACACATGCTCAGGGAGAACATGCAAACTCCATGCAGAAAGAACCCGGGCCGCGAATCGAACCCAGAACTGGCAATATTTATGTGATGTTAAATTAAGTTTAATAACCCATATTGGCACCATATTTCAGTGGCTCTTTTTTGTTTTGGAAATGCAGCTTGAATAAATAAATTATTTCTCTTACAATGTCTTTAAGGAAACAATAATCACACCATAAGCAGCGTGATTTATAAGTGGAACAGATCAACAAAGTCTTTTGAGGTCCACCAGAAGCTGATCACTTTGGGAGCCTATGACTGGGAGTTCTTCAAAGTTGGACCGTACCATTTCCTAGTGGTGGCAAATGCTTTTGATGGAGTGTCCATGTCTGTGGACTCTGTAATCTATGTTTGGATCCATGGAAGATTCCAAGTGTTCCAGAGAATCAAGGTGTGTTTTAAGATCCCATTTACATCAAAATGGTACAAAGTGGACTTAAAATGGATTTTATTTGATTATAGTATCACTGCCAATCTACTCACTGTAACAGTTGATGGTAGCGTTTTGCTGGGGGTTGATTTCAGCTAATGAGATCTGTATCATGGTGATTATAAAGATCTAGCCAGGAAAAGAGAAAGGAAGGAAGGAAGGAAGGACAATGATCAAGATAGAGGTTGTGGTTTGGCATGCTTTGCCCTAGTGATGGAGGTGCTTTGTAACTGATATGAACTATTTTATCTGTATCTGGCTACATCTGATGTGAGTGTGTTGACACATTAATTGCCATGCGACAAAACACAAAGAAATGTGTAATGAAGGGGAACTCCACAGGTGGGGAGGGGGTTCGAGAGAACCCCTCGGGGCTGGTTGCAATAAATCACCTGAAATCATCAAAGAAACATGAGAAGCTGGATTTCTGACAGCTGGCTTGGCTCATACCAGAGAAGACAGTAAATACATTTTTCAATAAGCATTAGCTCCCGTATTTCCTTTAATTTTTTTATGATTAAACAACACTCACTGTTTTCTTGCCATGCAAATTGATTTAGCAATTATGTCAACTCAACTAGTTTGAGTCTATATTTAATTGTTTTTTTTTTGTGTGTGTGTCACTGGACATATTTCCTTTAGGTGTAACTACTCTTGTATTCACTCTAAGTCCAGCAATGTGCAGGCCAGTATCTAAACATAGCAGGAATTTTTTTTAATATGGGTTGCACCATTAATTATGATTTATACATCAGCGATATAAATACTGTAGGTTTTAGAATAATAATGTTTTGTTGCTGCAGCTAGTCTATTTAAAATAAACATTTGTTTGCAAACTTAAAAAACCGTGCAAAAACTTTGGAAGAAACAAACTATGGGTTTTTGCATGACCGAGAATGTTTTTTTTTTAATAAAAGGCGTACATTTCTGACAACCAATAAAGAGATAGGCTTGCAGATTTACATTTTTCATATCATTTTGTCTGTTTTTTTTTAGCAGTGGTAGCAGATTTTAACCTCAAAATTCACACTGAGTTTAGAAATCCAAAAAAGCAGATGAGCTCCATTCACAAAGTCAAATCTGGCTACTGGTAATGGTGGATTAATTTCTATCTCTGATGGTTTGCATCCCTTTAAATCAGTATTGAAGAGTTCAACCTCTGTTAAGCAGTGTGTAATTTGGCAGTTAAGTACATTCCTGCTAGGTTGTTCTTCTTATAAAGGGAAATTTGTCTCTCAGCAGAGTAATTAGCACATCACTCTGTGAGAGACTTGCAACTGGAACATGGTTGGGTTGGTTGTGGTGTCATGTCCAGATCCATTTATAAGCTAAATGGGATAACTCTGCTTCATACATATATCTCCTAATGGTTGTGATTTCTGCAATTTCTTGACAAAAAAACAAACCAATTGGTACTTAAACAATTTTAGATATGTTTTTTGTTTTTTACGGTTAAATTTGGCCACATTGCCCAAAACGCTTTAATTTTATTCTCTAAAGACTTTACACAATATTACAGCAACTTCTAATAGATTTTTAACTTTTATTATTTTTTCCCCTTTAAACAGTTGTTTACAACTTAAATCTTTGTTGACACTTCTACTTAAAAAAAATGCAATCACAAACAAAAAAACATTCATATCCCTGTCAGATTCTGTTCGACCAACATCGTTCATCTGACCAGTGTGATTATTAATGTTGTTAATAACCAGAGTCCCGGTTTATCGAAAAGTAAATCTGTAAATTAATCTGAAGTTTAGAAGGAAGCCATTACAACCACAAAGGCTTGGAGCACATCACCAAAGAGAAATCATTAAAACACCAGCAGAAACATGCTAAGAGCTGGAAGGCAATTATAAGAAGCTCTTGATTGATGAACTATATATTTTTTCTTCCCACTGATTGTTAAGAGAGGTAGGCTGTATATAATTTCAAAATGACATTTTTTAATTAAAATGCAGGCCAAAGCAATTATTTGTATTCCACTACCTGACCACTTTTTATTCATCTTTTGAGGGATGTCTGTCTCTAGTCCTAGCAGGAATTAATCTTATTAAATGATACTAATTTTGAGTTTAAATCTACCAGGGGTTTGAACAATTTTGGACTTAATTGCACCCTATTAGAAGCTTTTTACTGACTGACTTTTTGCTACTGCAGACATTCTGCGCCACAGACTGGGAAATGTTCCAGATTGGCAGCAGAGTATTTCTGGTTGTAGCTAATGGTCAGAGACTGGAGGGCAATGGACCCGACCAGTACACCGTCAACTCAACCATCTATGAGCTTGACATGAGTGGACAGCTATTTGTTCGCTTCCAGGATATAGTTACCTACAGGTAATGAGACAAATCTGATACATGTACATGTACAAACACAGACTTTGAAATATTATTTGTGGTTAAAAATGTTTGCAGTCATTTCACTCTATCGACATTCCGTCTAACCATCTTTTTCCTACTGCAGTGCTTTGGATTGGGAGTTCTTCAGCCTCGGGGAAGAATATTTCTTGGTTGTTGCAAACTCATATAATGGAGAATCCTACTCTCTCAACAGCATTCTTTACAGGTATTCAGCTTGTCAACAAGTCCCCACCCAGTGTGATGTCTTTCGTCAATCCTTATTGCCATGGGGCACCTGTCATGAAACAATCTTAGAAGCAAACACTTACATATAGTGTGTACCTTTTTATTAAAAAAAGAAAACGCTTGCATTTTTTAAAATAAATGTATTATACCTCACAATAGATGTGTCATTTTTAAGGGCTTTTTTTGTCAGGTTACAACTAAAAACATTGGGTTATTTTATGGGAACTTCGTCTTAAACCTGATCACATATTAGCACATTAGATTAAATAGAACTAAATTAACATGTACTTCATATTTGGTATTTCTATTACATAGAAAATACACTAAAGTGTGTCATTGCAACAGGACAACACTGAAATATAGTTTGAAGGGGTGTGAATAGTTTTGCAAAGCATAGTCAACAGTAATTTTTTATGTATTTTTTTTATTTTTATTTTTTATAGGTGGCAGGGATATGAAGGATTTGTTCCTGTTCACTGGCTCCCAACGATCGGATGCAGTGACTGGGAGTTTTTCAGCACTAATGGAGAATCCTTTCTGATCTACTCCAGTGCCACAGAGCCTTTCTCCAAAGTTTTCAAGCTCAGAACCTACTAAAACAGAGTGCAAATGGCTTTGTGTTTTCAATTACTTTATGATGTATTGTGGTCATGTAAATGTTTTAATATATCTTTGTATATACTGGAGAGTTTATGTTTTATAGACACAATTTATTTTCAAACAATTGAACAGAATTAATAAAAAAAAAGAACTTTACCAAAGCTTTCATGCATTGATAAACCATTAATTGCCTCTTTATAAATGGCAAAACTTTTATCATATCATCATTTTAACACATGATGTGGATTTATTCTTTAAATATTATGGGAAACAGATAAAAGCTCAAGCCCTCAAATTATCATATTTCAATAACAGCGATTTATAGTATGCCTTTTAATGTTATATTTGTACATTTTTTTAATTAATTTGATGTGTGTATCCCAATGTAGCACCTTTATGGCAGAAAGATATAGGAAAAAATATGCAGAAAAAAAATTCTTTGCATGTCTGTATGTTCATGTTAGCTTGCAAAAATATTTTTGTCATTCTTATGTTTATTTCTATTTAAAATATACTTGAAAATATGCTTTTGTTTTTACTTTTTGCAGTTAAGATTTCTACATTTATTTATTGCTTGTAGGAGGCAATGTTTTTAGTGTTGTAATGATTTAAAAATGTTTTTAATATATCTAAACATATCTAATTGAAATATTTCAACCACACATTTTTTAATTATTACCCTCACTCCCCTGCTGTTCTTAAATGTTTATGTTTTGTATTTTTTCATGGATTTGTCAATATAAATGTAAAAGATTATAAAATCGACAGAGGTAACTCATGTAATATGAGGATGTCGTAGGGAAACGACTGTTCCAACACAACCTTTGTTTTATTTGGTGAGTCATTTAACTGTGATCTTAAACTTTGCTGGACAGCAGCTTTTTATGGAGAACCATTTCTGCCATAATTAAAAATAAATACAGAAATAAATAAATGCTCCAAAAATAAATAAGCATTCAATTAATTGCCCGCAAAAAATACAATAAACAAATAAATGTAGATACAAATTAAATTATACAGTGAGACGTAATGTATATATCTCTTTTAAATAGCTAATTTCTTTTTTCGTCTTTGTAAGAATGACCTTATTTATTTATTGTCCGTTATAATCTTCAACTTTTTTTTTATTACTTATTTCTTTATTTCTTTATTTATGTGCATGTTATAATATTTTTGTCAAGTTTATTCTTCCTTTGTATTTTTTTACCCTATTTATTTCATAAATAAATAAAGTTGAAGATTATAACAGACAATAAATAAATAAGGTCATTATTACAAAGATGAAAAACAAAGAAGTTAATTAAAAGAAATATATACATTTATGCCTCACTGTATAATTTAATTTCTCTCTACATTTATTTGTTTATTGTATTTTTGGGGGGCAATTAATTGTATGCTTATTTATTTTTGGACCATTTACTTCAATGAGGCTGTGAGGGCCTTCAAAGCCTTCTCTGCTGGCCTAAAATCAATCAGAAACACTAACATATATTCTCAACCTAAACTTTAATTTTCTTCTTTCCAGCTCCATTAATTTATTCAAAACAATTAATTCTCTTAATGTTGTAAAGTTTCTCTTGATTACTGAGCTGCTTCTTTTACATTTATGTGGTCTCTATATTTTTTGTCCAATCGGATTTCAGCCTTAGTGCATTGCTATGTCAATCAAATCTGCCCAGGGCCTTCAGAATCAGCAGTACTGGTTGATGTTACCTAACAATATCAGTGAGGAGCATTTTCTTCAACCAATAATATTTCCGATTTGGGGGCAGCTAGAGGGCCCACACATTTGTCAGCATTTTCTGTCCTCTGATTGGTCAGTTAGAGCAAAATATTTACAGCCAAGTTAAGCTAACAACAATCTGCATTTTAGATTTGCTCTTGTTAAAAGTTATTCTGATCCTTAATGGAGATACAAAGACTTCCTGCACAAAGACAGGAAGAAGGATTTTGTTTGTAAATAATCAGCACCTCTTGTGAGTGTTATATATATTTTATTTTCACACTTAATCTCCATTTTATCTGGTATTTAGATGCATATTGAATTTGAACGGCTCCTGATTGTGTAAATGTGTCAGAGCTGTGGTTATGAGGTAGAGGATTGCGGTTCTCTTACCTGGGCTTCTTGTTTAATTGATCTTAGCGTTCTCGCTCACACTAATCTTTGTCTCAGTTATACCTGCGCTTGTTACATTTCATATTTGAATACTATTGATCGTTTCTTTTGTTAAAATGTGAAAGTGGTGATATTAACGCCTTGACACCCATCATTGCAAATTGACATCCAAATGTGTGTGTGTGTATATGTATACATATATATATGTGTGTGTATGTATGTATATATATATATATATATATATATATATATATATATATATATACATTTTTTTAAATCTAGGTTAATTTCACTGTTATCTTGGAATTAATCCAGATTAAAATGGGTAATTTGTTTTCTGCCAAAGGGATTCATTAATCAGAATCAGAATTACTATATTTACTTTAATAATCCCTTGCGGGAAATAACATAAGAAAATGAATTAAATAAGGATAAGAATAAAATAAGATAAGGGTAAGAATAAAATATGATAAGGATGAAATGTGTGTGCTACCTAAATAATAAGTGAAAGTAAGTCTTTGAACAGGTTTCTCTAGTCAGATGGCGCATTAGACCAGGGGCTCATTTCCTGTTTCCAAAATGCATCACATAATACCACTGAACCAACATTTTCAAAAAGCGTCCCACTTTACCCACATTCACCAAAGCAATCATCAAGAAGCAAAAATAATTTTGTAGTAATCATTCAAGGTGTCGTGGTAAAATGAAATTTAAAATTACATAACATTGCCTACCTAAAGCGAAGGTGTGAAATTCCCAGCTTGCATCGATGAGGTGTGCAGTAACACCGAGGTAGTTATGACAGATATCCAGTGGTCCACTGTCAGTACTAAACACGTCGCCTTGACCAACTTCTCATCTTTCGCAGCTTTCACTGTGACATGCTGGGCATGTATGAGCACCTGTGGCCACCTGGAGAACGAGCTCGAGCCCATCATCTTCAACCACGCATGGCTTCCTTAAAAATAAATGTACCCTTAAGCAAACATGGTGGCTTTATAGCTGCATCCATGTTATCACATCACGTTCAAAGTGTTAACAATAGGCTGATTTGTTCACACCCCCAGATAGGCATCTGCGCTATGTATATATGGAGATCAAAGGATAAAAAGTATAAAGTTGAGGGGCACCCACTCAAGGCCTAGTTACCATATTCACCGCCCACGACTGATTTATTTATGTCTGTATTTATTTTTAATTATGGCAGGATTGGTCCCCCATACACTTTTTGCCTTTGACTGCAATAAGTTTGAAACTAGATTTTGGCTTTTATCTTAATAATGCTTTGCATGTCAGAATGTCAAGAATACACTTTTAAGTTTTTCTTTACTTGTACTTACTTGTTTTTTTAAATTGTTTTGGTTAACATCGCTTTTTTTGCTACATAAATCATTTTAACCACCAGCAAACAATTAAAGTTAATGATTCTAACTAAAGACTACAACATCCACAATGCTTCAGTTATATGAGCCTGTAGGGAATGTGGTATTTAAACCAAATGTTTCTGTTTGAAAAAAAGAATAATAAAAAAATGAAACACTATTCAATATTTTATTTTCTATCGTTGATTAAGAATATGTTAAGGTTAAGTATTCCAAACATATCCCTAATTTTCCTGTCAAGGGCGCATTTTGACCATGCGAGATACTACAAGTACCACAATGCATCGCGGCTGCTTTCCCCCAGGAAGAATCATGGCCGCCTACTGTTCAGCTATGGTGTTTCTATTTACGTTTCGCCAGCTTTCTGTTTTGAGACTTACAGCAGGAGAAAGAGTTTTTTTTGAAAGCCATATTTGAGGTTTATTTATAGGCATTGTTTGGATAAATCAAAGTGTCTTTTATTTACATTTTTTTTGTGTGTGTGACAGACTGATAGATTTGAGTCTTTTCACTTAGCTTATCAAAGCTGCTATTGATTTACTCAATCAGACACCCACAGCTTTCACACCGGGGTCTGGTCGCGATGTTTAGCCCCGTGAATTCCTCTTATTTTCGAGTCAGTCCGACTATTATCAACCGGGAGCTTGGCAAGACCAAGATGAGATAGCAAGAGTGTACAGCGGAGTGCTAACAGGCGTTTTACTGGGAGGAAACATCCACATCGCAACTGGGAGTGAAATTAACCGAGAAATAAAACCCACATTGACATGTTTGGAAACCTTTTTGAGGAGGAAGAGGACGAAGGGTTCGCCTCGACCTCCAACAAAGGGAGGACTGCTAAAGGGGGCGAGGAGCCACCGCCTCCACCCCGAGGAAGAAGCAATCTGTGCGGCATTAAAAATCAGGGAGGGACCTGCTACCTCAACTCTCTGCTCCAGACTCTGCTGTTCACCCCAGAGTTTAGAGGTACAGACAGCAGCAACAGGTCAGCAGGAGACCATTCAGCTCCTTAATCTGTTTTTTTTTGTGTTGTTTTTGTATTGTTTGTAGAGGAGCTGTTCAGTTTGGGACCAGAAGAATTGGGGCGTCTTGAGGACAAAGACAAACCAGGAGCCAAAGTAGGTGACTCCGTTTCTACCAGTGGTGGACTGTGAGGGCCTTCAAAGCCTTCTCTGCTGGCCTAAAATCTATCAGAAACACAAACATATATTCTCAACCTAAACTTTAATTTTCTACTTTCCAGCTCCATTAATGTATTCAACTAATCAATTCTCTTAATTTTGTAAAGTTTCTCTTGATTACTGAGCTGCTTCTTTTACATTTATGTGGTCTCTATATTTTTTGTCCAATTGGATTTCAGCCTTAGTGCATTGCTATGTCAATCAAATCTGCCCAGGGCCTTCAGAATCAGCAGTACTGGCTGATGTTA